GTCAAACTATTATTTCGGATGGGTTTCCAATCATACTGAGCGTAGCTTAGTGTGGTGGCATGCCGTCTCTCTCTCTCTCTGTCACTTCCATCAATCACTTACTTTTATATCTCTTTATTCCTCTCTCTCTCTCTCTCTCTCTGTCTCTCTCTCTCGCTCCTCCCCCGTGTCTGGGTGAGTGGTTTAGATCAGGGATCAAGCGCTCAGGGACTGATGTCTCTGGCGTTTTATTGGCAGCGTCACATGCGCTGATCATCAGAGCACAGATAGTTGAGCGCGTCTCTCCAGGGACCCTCGGCAGACCCATCTCACCCTCTCTCTCCATCAGCATGGAGCCGGGGTCGAGCTCCTGCCCGCGGGGTAAGTATTCGGCGTGGAGCGGGGCGTCCCGGATTCACGCTCTTGGGTTAGTGATGGCCGTGGATGTTCGTAGTGCTGCTCTGTTTAATGTCATTGTTCTTACTTCAGTTGTCGTGAAACTACCTTTTAGAAAGTTGGCGGGGAACTGGAAATGGGTTATTCGTGTTTTAATGTTAGAATATAAACACAAGATTTTTTCTAAACTAGATCTCGTTTTTTGCTGACGTAGATGTACAACTGCCAGTCAGGAACATCTCAGGTCGAAGAGTGTTTCAATGTTGTCAGCCAGAATATAACCTTTTCTCTAAACTGATTTAAAGTGACGTTTTGAAGGATGCGACTATAGTTGCATTGAGCTAGTCTTTGGTTTTACTTCAGTAGACGTGAAAATGCTGTTCTGGAACATCAAGATTATTGAAAATGATATATCTTGTCATTTTGTCAACCAGAATATAACCTTCTCTGAATGGACTTTAAGTGATATTTTTGAAGGTCATGTTGAACACTATCTCATTTTACTTCAGTAGATGTACAACTGTCCTTCTGTATCATCTCAGGTAGAAGATATGTTGGTGTCCTAATGTAGTCAACTCAACCAAGAATATAAACTGAATAAGTTTTCTAAAGCAACCAGTTGTTTTAGTCTTCATGCTTACTTCAGTAGATGTGAAATTGCTGTTCTGGAACTTTGCAATCATCTAGAATGAGATATTTTGCCGTTTTATGTTGTGAACCAGAATATAACTGCCTTTGCATGTAGCTCAATGTCACTTGTCTTAGTTCTTACTTTAGTAGACGTGGAATTGCTGGTCTGGGACATCAAAATCAGCTAGAACAAGATATTTAGCCATTTTTATGTTGGAGACCGTAATATAACCTTTTGTAAACTGACTTTAAGTGGCATTTGTGACTAGTTGGATTCAGCTAGTCTTAGATCTTACATTAGTAGATGTGAAAGCACAATCAGCTAGCATGAGGTGTTTTTAATGCTGTCAGTCAGAAGAGTATTAACAGAACTTCTCCTCTAAACTCACTTTAAGTGTCTGTTTGAAGTTGTGACATTACATTAAGCTAGTTTTAGTTCTAATTTAAATAAGATGTTAAAGTTGCTTTTTTGGTCTTCTCAGGCAACTGAAACAATATATTTTGGGTGTTAATGTTGTGAACCTGAATATAAATGAATAAGTTTACTACCTTTCTGGAACTTCTCAAATAGCAGATAGTCAGAAAATAACAACACTTTCCTAAGCTGACTTTAAGTGACTTTTTAAAGTTTTTTTTAAAGAGAAGAGTTGCAAACAAGAAAAATAATCATGCATTTTATTTTTATATAATTTTGTAACATCTTGCTTTAAGGATGTAAATCTTTTTGTTTGGTTGGTTATTTTTGTTTTTTTTGTTTGTTTATTTTATTTTATTTTAATTTTTTTTGCTGGAAACCCATACAAAATACTGATTAAGAACTTGCAGTTGAGAATCTCCCTAAAAACAAAGAAAACATCTACCATTTTTCATCTACCTGGAGCCAAATGTCTGTCCGTTTATTTTCTGCTTTCTGTTTTGCTCTTTCGTTCGTTCGTTTGTTCGTTCATTCATTCATTTGTTCATTCGTTCTTACTTGAATATGTAAGAGGTAAAACTACCTCACACGGCTAAAGCACTACCGCTGTCATGCCTGGAAAAGGAATCGTCTTAAGCCAAGAGCATGCAGTGTGGCACTGCTGATCGGATGAACTCAGTGACATTGTAGGTAATTTTGGCTGGTTCCATCATAGCCGTCTGCCACGGTTTAAACTAAGACTGATTGTAATATGGAACTATAAAACTTTGTTGTTGTAGAGTTTATAGCAGCTTGGCATGGCATGTTTTGCCAGCTCATGCAGTGTTAAATAAAAGGTTATTTAGATGTGCAATTCTAAGTAACATTTATTTTCTTTCCTTCTCTGAACATGCAAATCTTTAGCAACATGTCCTCGGCAGATATGGAAAAAAAATATTTTCCATATTAGCATCTTTGTCTTGTTTTCCAGTAAAAATATCTACACTTCCTTTAGAAGAGAAGCAAAAATGAATTTTAAGCCATGTTTTAAATTTATTTTAAATTTATTTTGAAAATGTTATTTATTTTAATTAATGAATTACGTTAATTAATTCATTTTGGTTTTGGCAGTTTATTTTGAATTAATTTTTTGAATTATTTTTTTTACGTAAATATGCTGAGGTTTAAAACCAGAAATAAATATTAATGAATTTTATATTTGTGTAATTTTAAAACTTTATCTTACTTTAAGGATGTAAATATTTTTGTTAATGTTTTTATTTATTTATTTATTTATTAATTTTTTCTTGGAAAACCAGACAAAATGCTGATTAAGAACTTGCAGTTGAAAATCCCCATCAAAAACAGGAAACATATGCCATTTTTGAGCACCAGGAGCCAAATGTCCATCCGTTTATTGATCATTTCTGTTCTGCTTTCCATTTTGCTAACTCATTCATTCTCTGTGCGAGTTTCTCTGGATGAAGGGTGTGCATTGTGTTGCAGCTGAATGAAGGACGGTGACGTCTGCAGTCATATAAGCATATCTGTAATCTAGGTCATTTTGATGAAAGTAGATCACGTCTCGTGAGATTTGGCATTACTGTATCAAGTGTCTGTAGTCATAGATGCAATGTGAATGTGAACAGAATATAATACTGAGAGTCCAAAGTTAAACCTTTCAAGGCGTAAATGGATAAACACTTCACAATTTCAAATCAAAAGTTTGTGTCTGGCTTTTGTTGTCATAATCTCTATTAAAAAAAAATCTGTCTATAAAAGTGCCAAAGGCACAAAATAAAGGTTTCTGTCAACTACAAGAAACTAATCAATTGATGTTTTTTTTTTCATGCCAACATGAAATCAAAATTTACTGTTTACCTTTTACTTAAATGCATGAACTGAACAATTGTAAAACTTGAAAGCAATATACCGTATTTAACAAAAATATGTGCTCAGAATGTTTTCCATTATGTTACGAAAATTTTATTTCTGAACGCTCTCTGAAGTTCAAAACGTCCCATTTTTTTTTAAATGTAAAAAAAAAAAAGAAAAATTTTTTCTTGGTTATGTGTATGTTAGAAACAACATTAAGCCAATGTTCCATTTTGGAATTTTGCAAACATTATGGGAATGTTTTCTAAACCATCTGAAACTAGTTAGTAGTAACAGTTTAGTTAGATGTTTGTCTAATGTTTTTTAAATGCTTCAGAAAAACGTTGCATAAACAATTGGTGAGCATTATTAAAGATCAGATAACATTTAACAAAGATTACTAGAAGAATGTGTGTTCATAACTTTGAGAGAACTGTGCCAGAACGTTCCCTGTCGGCTCTGTTGCCGTAGGGCTTTGTATCTTTTCAATGTTTAGAGTTGCTTGGATTCTAGTTAAACACCTCAACCAGGCTTTTAACATCTTAGCCAGCGTGTTTTGTTCTGGTGGAGTTGTAGAACTGGAGGTTGTGGCTCAACCGGTAGAAACATGACGCTAAAACACCAGGGTTTTTAATTCCAGTGAAGCACACTTGCTGATTAAGTGTTGATGTTAAATGCATGTAAAGGTGCTTTAAATAAAAGTGTCTGTCAAATGCATTTATGTAAATGTCATGCATTCATGTATATTTAGTGCTGCGACTTTAGCATCACTTTGAGTACTTTTTCTCCTGGAAATTCTAGCATAAATGTGTGTGTGTGCACCAAACTGTTTGAACTGGTTTCAAACCAGTTTGCAAATGCACTATTGTTCCAGGCGGTATGAAAAATGACTCATATGCACATTAGAGCATCTTGTGGTTTTATTGCATAATCATACATTTACATTCATGCATTTTGCAAATGCTTTTATTCCGAAAAGCACCGAGAAACGAGCCAGCAATAATCATAATATACAATGCCAGACATGCACAGATTTTGTTGGATCTTCAAGCTGGCGAACGATCACATTTGTATTTTCCAAAAGCTTTTTCTGTTTGCAAAGTTAAACCGTTCAGTCCTATTTAATTCAGCATCTGTGGCGTATCGTACGTCTAATCTAAGAAACTCTTGGAACAGCGCGTCGTTCTGAATCTGAATTATATGCTGCGTTGAAATGATAGGTTTGATGAAATGAATAAAGCGATGCAATCTGAAAATAAATCCTATAGTGACAGAGCCCAGTCCAGATGATTATTTAAATCACTGCAGTTTAACATCTATATATAAGCACAACTCAGGCGGAGCAGTGAACGTGCACCGTCCACCTCTGAGTAAGTGCGTGTTTTCAGCTATACGTTTAGGTTTTATAAGTGCTTTAGTGACAGGACACCATATGCTATCAGATTCTCTGAGCATCGCAGAGTTTGACCAGTGAACCGGAGGACATTGATCACCATCATGCTCTAATTATAGGAAAATCATTTCGTCTGACCTGCGGCGATGGATAGGAAGTCTGCTTTTTCCTAATTTACCCAAGAGAGCACACATAACAGACCATAAACACCTCTCTCTTCACAAGCAAACAGCATTTTAGTGGCACATCTCCTGCAGCCAGCTGTAATCATGTCTTTTCTCTCTCTCGCTCATGTTCTGTTGCTCTCTCCATCTGTCTGTCTGTCTGATACAGGTGATGGAAACCCAAGGGAAAGCAGCCCCTTCATCAATAACACAGATGATAATAAGGGAAATCTATATGATGGGAAAAACATGGCACTTTTTGAGGTACTGTCTTTAAACTTTTTTTACTATCAATATGCATATTTTTGACTAACAACATGAAAAAAATATTACGATTAAAACTTATTTTTAAAATAAGAAATTGTATTTTGCTTAAGTTTATTTCAGGATTATTTACTGATGATTTTCTTTGCATTTTTTTTTCATGACAATTTTGCACATTTATCCTCAAATTTTCATTTTAGTAATCCATCTTGATGGTTTAGTTTTGTGTTTTTTGTTTTATTAGATTCTCTCATTTTTAATACTAATTAAAATACTAGTTAATATTTACTAATTAAAACACTAATTACTGATTCAGTAATATTTTTGAATAGTATAGTACAATAAATACCACTTTGACGTATACATTACAATTTAAATATAATAATAATAATAATAATAATAGAACTAATATTATTTGTATTACAGTAATGTTAATTTTGGTGGAAAATGAACTGAAATAATGCAAAAATATTAATAACAAAAAAAAGACTGTCATAATTTTTTATTAAGCAAAATATAAGCATTTATTTATTTATTTATTTGTTTGATTAATCATTACAATAACCAGAATTTTGGTAAAATAACACTTAAAATAATGTCATTATATTAAAAAATATTATATAAAATATAAAATATTAATAGCTAAAAAAAGGCATGCTATTCTTTATGCAAAAAAATTATATAGTTTTTCATTCTTTTGATTTTAGGGTGAAATATGACCGAAATGTGCTTTTAATAAGTTGTGTGAGATTACTTATTATCGCATTCAAGTTCTTTTCAAGCCTGTATTTGACATCATGGCTTTTCTCCACTCTGTTTTCCACATTCTCGTTTCATGTTTATGGCCACAAATAAAGTAATTCATGGGTCATTACGTTTATTTTTGTATCATTTCATGATTTCGGACAGACAGAGCTGTTATTGCGTTCTTTGATTTTGGTGCCTACATTTATTTTTACTCTTCGAGACATTGTAGAGGTTTGAAACGAGTCGTTTGTGTTTGCTGGTTTGCAGTTTTTGATCAAATGCATGACCTTTACCCTTTCAGGAGGAGATGGACAGCAATCCCATGGTATCTTCACTTCTCAGCAAACTGGCCAACTACACGAACCTCACGCAGGGCGTCAGGGAACACGAGGAGGCCGACGAGGATGAAGGTGCCAAGAAGCAGACAGTCAAGGTAACGGACTGAGAACCATTACACATCATAAAAACATTTACATGACTTTAGCTCAAGTTTTGGGGTCATTTCCTTTAAATTTAGCATTAGAGGACAGACTAAACTCATTTCATCTGTAGACATGAAGTTGCCTGAATGAGAGACACGTGAAGCCGAGCTTTCAGATGTTCAAGCTTGTGTCTGTGTGCTCTAATCTAAAACAAATCAGACACACATTCTCAGCATTCTTTCAGCTTTTGTTGAAAATACGACAGGAAATGAACACAGGTCAGATCGTTTGGAACGTCTGATTACGGAAACATGTCAGAAATGACCTGAACTTCTCATAATTCTATTGTTCCATTGCACCGTTCAGGAAACGCAATAAACCTTAGTCTGAAGCAGGGTTATTATAAGTTAACTAAAACTTAAAAAACATTTTAGATCTTTAGGGTTCCTAATTTGGTTACATTTAGTTCTTTGGAGATTAAGATTATAGTTTTTGATATTTCATTACAGGTTTTTCAGGTCAGTGTTTTGATTTCTATAAAGCACAGAGTTCATGTTGTTAATTAACACTAAAAACTGAAATAAAATATTTAACTTCAAATTATTTTATTTCAGCTAGTTGACAAGGCAACATTTCTAATTTTTAGTTTACATTTATTTAATACTAAAATAACTAAAAATAGAGGGAAAAGTTTATAAACATTTTTTAAAACAAAAAACAAAACTACAGTACATTTATATGGTTCTTACATGGTTAAAAAATGATATAGTTCTTTGGATATTAAAAATACAGTTTTTTGATGTTTCATTGCAGTTTTTCAGATCAGTGTTTCGATTTCTGAGTTAATATTGTTAACTAAAACTAAAAACTTTTTTTTTTACTTGAAATAAAAATTAATGAATTTTATATTTGTGTAATTTTAAAACTTTATCTTACTTTAAGGATGTAAATATTTTTGTTAATGTTTTTATTTATTTATTTATTTTTTCTTGGAAAACCAGACAAAATGCTGATTAAGAACTTGCAGTTGAAAATCCCCATCAAAAACAGGAAACATATGCCATTTTTGAGCACCAGGAGCCAAATGTCCATCCGTTTATTGATCATTTCTGTTCTGCTTTCCATTTTGCTAACTCATTCATTCTCTGTGCGAGTTTCTCTGGATGAAGGGTGTGCATTGTGTTGCAGCTGAATGAAGGACGGTGACGTCTGCAGTCATATAAGCATATCTGTAATCTAGGTCATTTTGATGAAAGTAGATCACGTCTCGTGAGATTTGGCATTACTGTATCAAGTGTCTGTAGTCATAGATGCAATGTGAATGTGAACAGAATATAATACTGAGAGTCCAAAGTTAAACCTTTCAAGGCGTAAATGGATAAACACTTCACAATTTCAAATCAAAAGTTTGTGTCTGGCTTTTGTTGTCATAATCTCTATTAAAAAAAAATCTGTCTATAAAAGTGCCAAAGGCACAAAATAAAGGTTTCTGTCAACTACAAGAAACTAATCAATTGATGTTTTTTTTTTCATGCCAACATGAAATCAAAATTTACTGTTTACCTTTTACTTAAATGCATGAACTGAACAATTGTAAAACTTGAAAGCAATATACCGTATTTAACAAAAATATGTGCTCAGAATGTTTTCCATTATGTTACGAAAATTTTATTTCTGAACGCTCTCTGAAGTTCAAAACGTCCCATTTTTTTTTAAATGTAAAAAAAAAAAAGAAAAATTTTTTCTTGGTTATGTGTATGTTAGAAACAACATTAAGCCAATGTTCCATTTTGGAATTTTGCAAACATTATGGGAATGTTTTCTAAACCATCTGAAACTAGTTAGTAGTAACAGTTTAGTTAGATGTTTGTCTAATGTTTTTTAAATGCTTCAGAAAAACGTTGCATAAACAATTGGTGAGCATTATTAAAGATCAGATAACATTTAACAAAGATTACTAGAAGAATGTGTGTTCATAACTTTGAGAGAACTGTGCCAGAACGTTCCCTGTCGGCTCTGTTGCCGTAGGGCTTTGTATCTTTTCAATGTTTAGAGTTGCTTGGATTCTAGTTAAACACCTCAACCAGGCTTTTAACATCTTAGCCAGCGTGTTTTGTTCTGGTGGAGTTGTAGAACTGGAGGTTGTGGCTCAACCGGTAGAAACATGACGCTAAAACACCAGGGTTTTTAATTCCAGTGAAGCACACTTGCTGATTAAGTGTTGATGTTAAATGCATGTAAAGGTGCTTTAAATAAAAGTGTCTGTCAAATGCATTTATGTAAATGTCATGCATTCATGTATATTTAGTGCTGCGACTTCAGCATCACTTTGAGTACTTTTTCTCCTGGAAATTCTAGCATAAATGTGTGTGTGTGTGCACCAAACTGTTTGAACTGGTTTCAAACCAGTTTGCAAATGCACTATTGTTCCAGGCGGTATGAAAAATGACTCATATGCACATTAGAGCATCTTGTGGTTTTATTGCATAATCATACATTTACATTCATGCATTTTGCAAATGCTTTTATTCCGAAAAGCACCGAGAAACGAGCCAGCAATAATCATAATATACAATGCCAGACATGCACAGATTTTGTTGGATCTTCAAGCTGGCGAACGATCACATTTGTATTTTCCAAAAGCTTTTTCTGTTTGCAAAGTTAAACCGTTCAGTCCTATTTAATTCAGCATCTGTGGCGTATCGTACGTCTAATCTAAGAAACTCTTGGAACAGCGCGTCGTTCTGAATCTGAATTATATGCTGCGTTGAAATGATAGGTTTGATGAAATGAATAAAGCGATGCAATCTGAAAATAAATCCTATAGTGACAGAGCCCAGTCCAGATGATTATTTAAATCACTGCAGTTTAACATCTATATATAAGCACAACTCAGGCGGAGCAGTGAACGTGCACCGTCCACCTCTGAGTAAGTGCGTGTTTTCAGCTATACGTTTAGGTTTTATAAGTGCTTTAGTGACAGGACACCATATGCTATCAGATTCTCTGAGCATCGCAGAGTTTGACCAGTGAACCGGAGGACATTGATCACCATCATGCTCTAATTATAGGAAAATCATTTCGTCTGACCTGCGGCGATGGATAGGAAGTCTGCTTTTTCCTAATTTACCCAAGAGAGCACACATAACAGACCATAAACACCTCTCTCTTCACAAGCAAACAGCATTTTAGTGGCACATCTCCTGCAGCCAGCTGTAATCATGTCTTTTCTCTCTCTCGCTCATGTTCTGTTGCTCTCTCCATCTGTCTGTCTGTCTGATACAGGTGATGGAAACCCAAGGGAAAGCAGCCCCTTCATCAATAACACAGATGATAATAAGGGAAATCTATATGATGGGAAAAACATGGCACTTTTTGAGGTACTGTCTTTAAACTTCTTTTTTTTTTTTTTACTATCAATATGCATATTTTTGACTAACAACATGAAAAAAATATTACGATTAAAACTTATTTTTAAAATAAGAAATTGTATTTTGCTTAAGTTTATTTCAGGATTATTTACTGATGATTTTCTTTGCATTTTTTTTTCATGACAATTTTGCACATTTATCCTCAAATTTTCATTTTAGTAATCCATCTTGATGGTTTAGTTTTGTGTTTTTTGTTTTATTAGATTCTCTCATTTTTAATACTAATTAAAATACTAGTTAATATTTACTAATTAAAACACTAATTACTGATTCAGTAATATTTTTGAATAGTATAGTACAATAAATACCACTTTGACGTATACATTACAATTTAAATATAATAATAATAATAATAATAGAACTAATATTATTTGTATTACAGTAATGTTAATTTTGGTGGAAAATGAACTGAAATAATGCAAAAATATTAATAACAAAAAAAAGACTGTCATAATTTTTTATTAAGCAAAATATAAGCATTTATTTATTTATTTATTTGTTTGATTAATCATTACAATAACCAGAATTTTGGTAAAATAACACCTAAAATAATGTCATTATATTAAAAAATATTATATAAAATATAAAATATTAATAGCTAAAAAAAGGCATGCTATTCTTTATGCAAAAAAATTATATCGTTTTTCATTCTTTTGATTTTAGGGTGAAATATGACCGAAATGTGCTTTTAATAAGTTGTGTGAGATTACTTCTTATCGCATTCAAGTTCTTTTCAAGCCTGTATTTGACATCATGGCTTTTCTCCACTCTGTTTTCCACATTCTCGTTTCATGTTTATGGCCACAAATAAAGTAATTCATGGGTCATTACGTTTATTTTTGTATCATTTCATGATTTCGGACAGACAGAGCTGTTATTGCGTTCTTTGATTTTGGTGCCTACATTTATTTTTACTCTTCGAGACATTGTAGAGGTTTGAAACGAGTCGTTTGTGTTTGCTGGTTTGCAGTTTTTGATCAAATGCATGACCTTTACCCTTTCAGGAGGAGATGGACAGCAATCCCATGGTATCTTCACTTCTCAGCAAACTGGCCAACTACACGAACCTCACGCAGGGCGTCAGGGAACACGAGGAGGCCGACGAGGATGAAGGTGCCAAGAAGCAGACAGTCAAGGTAACGGACTGAGAACCATTATACATCAGAAGAACATTTAGTTTAGTTTTTGGACAGTATCGTGGTCATTTCCTTTAAATTTAGCATTAGAGGACAGACTAAACTCATTTCATCTGTAGACATGAAGTTGCCTGAATGAGAGACACGTGAAGCCGAGCTTTCAGATGTTCAAGCTTGTGTCTGTGTGCTCTAATCTAAAACAAATCAGACACACATTCTCAGCATTCTTTCAGCTTTTGTTGAAAATACGACAGGAAATGAACACAGGTCAGATCGTTTGGAACGTCTGATTACGGAAACATGTCAGAAATTCAAGGTAACGGACTGAGAACCATTACACATCATAAAAACATTTACATGACTTTAGCTCAAGTTTTGGGGTCATTTCCTTTAAATTTAGCATTAGAGGACAGACTAAACTCATTTCATCTGTAGACATGAAGTTGCCTGAATGAGAGACACGTGAAGCCGAGCTTTCAGATGTTCAAGCTTGTGTCTGTGTGCTCTAATCTAAAACAAATCAGACACACATTCTCAGCATTCTTTCAGCTTTTGTTGAAAATACGACAGGAAATGAACACAGGTCAGATCGTTTGGAACGTCTGATTACGGAAACATGTCAGAAATGACCTGAACTTCTCATAATTCTATTGTTCCATTGCACCGTTCAGGAAACGCAATAAACCTTAGTCTGAAGCAGGGTTATTATAAGTTAACTAAAACTTAAAAAACATTTTAGATCTTTAGGGTTCCTAATTTGGTTACATTTAGTTCTTTGGAGATTAAGATTATAGTTTTTGATATTTCATTACAGGTTTTTCAGGTCAGTGTTTTGATTTCTATAAAGCACAGAGTTCATGTTGTTAATTAACACTAAAAACTGAAATAAAATATTTAACTTCAAATTATTTTATTTCAGCTAGTTGACAAGGCAACATTTCTAATTTTTAGTTTACATTTATTTAATACTAAAATAACTAAAAATAGAGGGAAAAGTTTATAAACATTTTTTAAAACAAAAAACAAAACTACAGTACATTTATATGGTTCTTACATGGTTAAAAAATGATATAGTTCTTTGGATATTAAAAATACAGTTTTTTGATGTTTCATTGCAGTTTTTCAGATCAGTGTTTCGATTTCTGAGTTAATATTGTTAACTAAAACTAAAAACTTTTTTTTTTACTTGAAATAAAATAAACTTTAACTGAAATAATTATAAAATATATATACAAAAAATTATACATATACATATATATTACGTTTTTACTAAAATACTAAAATAACTAAAAATGAAATAAAAATATATACACATTGTTTTTAAAAATAAAAATGACTAAAACTCACAAAAAGACTAAAACTAAAATCTAAATGAAAACTAAAAATATAAAAAAAACTAATTCAAAATATAAACTATAATGGTATATAAATAATACCTAAATAACACTTTCACTACATATATGTGTTTTTAACTAAAGAATAAAAAGTTTGTGGCATTAGTGTGCAAAACCGTTCAGGGCTTTTGATTTTTAGTAGGGATGTAACGATTCACTCAACTCACGATTCGACACGATTCACAATACCGATTTCTGGATTCAATTTTCTCACAAAATTAGATTTGAGACAAAATATAAATGAAAATATGTCCTTTTATTATTGCTTGGATAAAATGCTGAAATTTCTTTGTGAAACTGAAATATGAAATTTTAAAACAAACCCCAAATCAAATAAATAAACAACACAAATAAAAGACATCTCTTCATATAAACAAACTAAGGCTTTGCCGGTGCTCTTTGCATTCAGTTTGAGGCAACCACTGGGTTTTAATCACGATCCAAACAAAGATTCTGCGTACATGCTGCATGAGCGTTTAAAAATAAATTCTAAATTAGATTGTATAATTTCAACATTTGAAGCAAAACCAGAATGGTCTGACTTTAACTTTGCGAAATTATGCTACATAAAACATCTGAACGAGACCAAAACAGCAGGCGGGCTGCATGAGACGCAGATTCACTCTCTGACAGCAGGTGGCGCTTTTGGAGCAGCAGTAATAATGCAGCGTTTCCATGGTTACCGCAGTAAACAAAGCAGCAGTGCTTATAAACATTACATTAATATGCATTATACAGAGTCAAGATGAAAAGAAAATATCATTTAAACTTTTCTAAAGGTAGTCAGTTCCCCTTAGAGATGCATTCATATAAACTCCTACCCACAACTGTATCGCGATTCGTTTTACATCTCAACCGATTTGAATCGTTACATATTTGTATCGATTTTTAACCGGCTCGCTGTGCATCGTTACATCTAGTGGTCGACCGATATTGTTTTTTTGACAGCCGATTACGATACCGATATCTTGGCAAGCAGGGTGGCCGATATAAAGCCGATAAAATTTTATTTATTTTAATTGAAATTTAAGAAATTTGAAATTATTTCAAAATGGATTAAAAAATAATTGTTAAATAAACATACTTATTCTTTAGATGACAAAGTATATCATAAATATTTAATAAAAATATAATTAAAAAGGAAGTTAACACTGTAGCCAACAGACACAGAAGTTTGTGTGCATTGGGAATCATATTTTTTCAAATAAAGCCAAGGTAACACTCATTCTACATACAGCACACAGTGGAAATTACATGAATATGATAGTGGGCAAATGCATAAAGCGCAGCGTAATTTGAAATCACGAGTTTAAAGTATTTCAATCACACGTCTCCAGTGAAGCTGAACTCTCCTACTGTCCGCGTTCAATTCGCACGGACCGACCGTCACACAGAAAACAAGCGATCATTCAGGATACATGCACACTTCACACGATCTCACAGCTGGATCTGACTAAGTTTGCAAGGTTTGTGAAGTTAAATGCTCATTAGTCATTCAAAGATTTGTTTAAATTATATAAATGCATATTTGCTGAATGCTGACGGCAAACAAGAAAGTATTATAATGTGTGCCTTTCTATTACTAATAATATAAAAGCAATACACACACACACACATATATATATATATATATATATGACTTAATTATCCATCAGAAATTGTTTGGATGATAAAAAAATGTTTAAAAGTAATGCTGAAAAAGTCAGAAGGGAAAGTTATTTAGAAAATTATTACATTTTGGTGAAAGATTCAAATGTGCACCGATGAATTTAGTCTTGAATTTAAGTGCAGTTTTTTTCATGCCATTTTTTTAGTTCACACATCTCAAAAACATAAAGAAATATGCATAAAATATACAAAAATATAACATAAAAAAAAAAAAAGCAGATTTTATTTTAACAGACAGGAATGAAAAATGCAAGACTGGATTTAAGTGATAAAAAGTTTTTCTATATGAATAATGTTTAAAAAGTCAGAAAGAGAAATTATTTCATAAGTTGAGCAAGTTATTACAAAATATATTTTTTATGAATTTTTTTGATAGTTACCCATTTTAGCCTTTTTTCTTGCTTGTTATAAATTATATCTATTTAGTGAATATAAAGTGTAAGGTTGATTAAAACACGTTTAATTTCCGCTTTAAACCACTCTACAGCTGTTATACACAATCAGAATATAAATTGGAAAAATGCTAAAAATGGCAGGTGCAGTGAAAGCTCTTTGTGTCTGTATTTGGCCAGTACAGATCACTCAATCTCCTTCATTGTAACCGCTTTATTTCTCCCGGTAAGCCTGTTGGAGCTTCGTGGCCGTTAATTGGCTTTAGTCCAGTAGCTTTTCAGAGACGCAGGGATTTAGAGTGGACTTTCAGCTCAAGGACACTCAGACACAACGGCCGGATTGCATAACACCCAGATGCAGATGCCCTTTAATAGAGTACACCTTCCTGCAGAAAGAAACTGTGCTGTACATGATGTTGAGTTTCATTGACCTGTTTACTTTCTTAATACACGTCCCTGGTCTGAATGATTCATCAATGCGCGTTATTCTAAAAATAGTCTTTGTAATATCAAAATAACTTAGCTGATATGAAACTCCCAATGTCAATTCTAATGTGTAATATTATATACAATACTGTAAAATTTAGTGTAATATTAATAAAAAATGATTTTTCTTTTTTTGATTAAATCATAAGGAAAACGTATTGTACACATTTTAGTCATATACTAAATATTGCTACTAAATTAAATATTACATTATACTAAATATTACATTATTTTATATTTAAAAAATTCTTTTTTTAAATAAGAAAATCTTTTAACTTAAATCAACATTATACTAAATATTGTGTTTTTTATAAAATTATTTTTTTTATTATTTTTCATTATAATCTCTTCAAAATGAAATCGACATTATGCTAAATATTACATTACATAATATTACACCTGAGAATTGATATGATCAGCCAATTTTATTTTCATTTTTCATTAAATAGAAATAAATAAAATATACAAAACTAAAAAAAAATACTATACTAAAAAAATAAAAATTTTAGTAAATATGACATTATTTTATTTAATATTACACATTTGAGTTGATGTGATGGTGATTTTTCATATATATATATATAATGTTTCTTAATATTTAATAGGGCCTGTGGACAATTTTACTAAATAATAAGAAAAATATTACAATATTTGACTCAACATTTTTATTACATTATTTTACATTATTTTATATCATATTACACATTAGAATTGATATCATAGTGATTTTTCTTCTTTTTTTCAAATAAGAAAAATCTTTTATTTAAATTTTTTTTTGTGTGTGTGTCTGAATTAATAGTAATTCATTAAAAATGTATATATTTTTTAATTAAAATTGTCTTTATTTTTTTTAAATTTCTGAATTAATAAAATGCTGTGGACATTTTTTCAGACTATGTTGACAGCCATATCAATGAGTGCCATTGCTACGAACGGTGTTGTTCCAGGTAAGACATTGGCGTATTACATTTATTGCTCTCATTTTGTATTTAAACAGGAATGACATCATGGTCTGCATAAACCCAAGTTAAACCTCAAACACCCAGCATGAGAGATTATGGTGTTTATTGTAACCGCAGCGATGGTCTCCAGTAGAAATGCACTGCGGTCATTGCATGCGGTCATCATGTTCTCTGTTTGACCTGTTCCTGGAGTTCCTATTGTTCTGTGTCACATTTACGCTTCGCTGATGTTTGTCTCCAGCTGGAGGCTCGTACTACATGATCTCTCGCTCTCTGGGCCCGGAGTTCGGAGGCGCTGTGGGTCTGTGTTTCTATCTGGGCACCACATTCGCCGGTGCCATGTACATCCTCGGGACTATCGAGATCCTCTTGGTGAGTGTTGTGTGTGCAGTTAAGGGTTACAGTCAGATTAGGGCCAGAAAATCCAAAGAGCAGAGATTTTAGAAACCATTAATTAGCTACTAGGCCATAAAGATCATCTAAAAATAACCTTAAACTTTCATTTGAGGAATTATTGAATGATTGGATGAGGTATTTTGCTGCTGATATAAAATCAGGCAACATGGTATATATATATTTATTTTTTTTCTTTTTCTTTTTTTTTTGTAAATTGATTTGATTTGATTTGAATTTAATGCACTTTAATTTCACTTGCTGCCGATATAAAATTAAGCAACTTTGTGAATTTTATTTTATAAGAACTTCTATTTCACTTACATGAAAAAATAAGTTCGGGGTCCATGGAAAAGAAAATCCTTGTAAAAAAAAAAAAATGTAACAGTAAAAAATATGATTAAAATTAATTAATTAATTAAAAAATAAACAAATGAAAATGCTTAAATAAAAAAAACTGATTGATTTAAATAAATAAAATTTTTTATTAAATAATAAATTTTGAACTTAAGACATTTAAAAGTACAGTGCAGAAAAAATGTAGTAATGTAACAATATAAACTAAATATTTTCTAAATAATTTGCACATATTTAGAATATCAAGGTTTTACAGTCTAAATTGGGTCTTTATACATGACAATATATAGCTGCCTTTTAAATTTTTGGGTGGGGGTCCATTACACAAAGATGGTCATATTTGGGGGTCCATGGCATCTAAAAGATTGAAAACTGCTGCTATTACTCTTATTTCTCCGAGATGCATTCTGTCAGATGATACTTACCAATCCTATTCCCGTCATTTCCCCATGATTTCCTCTCTATTCTGTTCTATAAAATAGCATCTTCTATCTGTGTTGTGTCACAGACGTACATAGTGCCCAGCGCTGCCATCTTTAAGGCGGAGGAGAAGGCGGAGGAGGCGGACGCTCTGCTGAATAACATGCGTGTGTACGGGACGTGCTGTCTGACGCTCATGGCTCTCGTGGTGTTCGTCGGTGTGAAGTACGTCAATAAGCTTGCGCTGGTCTTCCTGGCCTGTGTGGTGCTGTCCATCCTGGCCATCTACGCCGGGGTCATCAAAACCATCTTTGAACCTCCGGTTTTCCCGTAAGTCACGCATTTTGTTTTTTGTTTTGTTATTTTATTTTGTTTTGTTTTTGCTGCCTAAAAATTAGTACAATTGTATTTTTATTTTAACACTTTTATTTCACTTACATAAAAAAAATAAGTAATATTTTATTTTATTTTAACACTTTTATTTCACTTACCTAAAAATAAGTAATATTTTATTTTATTTTAACACTTTTATTTCACTTACCTAAAAATAAGTAATATTTTATTTAATTTTTTTATTTTTTGAGCCTTGTATTGTATGTTGTACAGCATCACCTATCTAAACTAAACCAAGCCTCTTTAAAGATTGTAGCAGCATCGGGCAGCTCTCTTTGCGTTATGTTGAACCACAAACACCCGCAGCAGTGTTTGCTTCACAGATGAACACAGGCTTTCTCAATAACCACAAGCCTCCTGACAGTAAACTCTGATTTAAACCAATGCATTGTAAAGGCTGGTTTGTCCTCTCCAGGGTCTGTTTGTTGGGCAACCGCACCCTGCAGAACCACGGCTTTGACAAGTGCATGAAGACAGAAATAATAGACAACGTGACCGTGACCACGAAGCTTTGGTCTCTGTTCTGTAAAGGACCGGAGCTCAACGCCAGCTGCAGTGAATACTTCAGCCTCAATAACGTCACGGAGATCCAGGGCATTCCCGGCCTCACCAGCGGAGTCATTTCAGGTGAGAGCAGTAACTGAAGGCAACATTTACCCTCTGTACTTTATTATATAAACATAATCTTCAATAACCTGTGAAATAAATCACGTTATGGAAGTGGAATAGGTTGCACATGCCGTTTTGTGTTCATTCAGACCTCAGCTTGCTTGTGCTCGACATCTGAGACATGCGATGCCTGAATGAGACACGTCCTCGGAAAAAGTGCTCTTGGCTTCAAATGTACTTTAAGTGCAAAAAACACACTTTTTTGCATTTGCATTTCAAGCAAAACCATATTGAAATAGTGCTGGGCGATAAATGATTTAATATCGAGATCACAATAAAATATCGTCCATAACGATGGAAAACTTCATCTCCAAAGCTGCTGAGAGTCACTTCAACAGCATTTCTCTGTTTAATTTGAGAAGAACGACTGTCTAATACACAATAAAGCTCAAAGATCTTCACAACTGCCAAAATAAAAATTCAGCTTAACTTGAAAAAATTATGACAGAAATGTTTGCCACTCTGTAAAAAATGATATGATCAGTAAGTCAAGACAACATATGTTTTATCAGTTTAACTAATCAATTATTTTAACCAATTTCAACATAATTTTTTAAGTTATATGAGATTCAACTCGATTTTTTAAGTCACTTTAATATAATTTAATTTCAAATGACTTGTTCAGCCAATTTGATTATACTTAAAAATTTAAGGCAGCAACTGACTTAAGTTTTTATGTTGAAGTAGGTGGAAATTTTTACAGTGTAATAATAATTATAATATTAATAATAATAAAGATTTTCGTAGTGCAGCATTCGTAGTGCATAACATCAATTGTTATATTTTCATTTGATTACATTTTAAAAGCTTAACTAAATTGTTAATGTTGTATTCATTAATTTCATTAAACATAATTTTTGATGATAATTTTTTGATGATAAATTAAAATCATAAAACACAGAATTCAGAAAAAAATACTGTGGAAAACACAGAATTTATGTAAAAATAGTATGGATTTCATGCGGCCCTCAATTAAAACTCCTACTCTGTGGAGTTTAATTGTGAACAAACAAATTAAAAAATTAAAAAAGTTTTTAAAAAAATTATTTTTTAACCCTTAAATGCATACCTCGGGTCTTTAGCGACCCGGGACATCATTCTCTACCCTCTCCCTCCTTCATTTTTTAAAGTTAGACATCAACTTTCTTAGTATTCCTAAATCTATTAATTATAAACAATATAACAAGAAAAAAATTGTAAAATATAAAAGAATGCCTGTTTTCTGATTAATTTTTTATAAAAAGTGTATAGGGTCGCTACAGACCCGAGGTATGTAAATGTGTAAGTATTTTTTCCTGCGCAACTATATTTACATATCTTATGACTCAATTTGTGCAATGCATATTTTTTCCTCAAGGTGGCACTGTTTGATACACAATGATGACGTGATGTTTCACTCATAATTAATAAATGCATTAATAAAACAAATATCATCAGCAAAAACTGAAGTGGTTTGAATGGCTTTATGCAGAGCAGTTACTATACGCAATGAAATATAAATGTCACTTTCATTTGATGCTGGATGTGGTGAATAAGCTGCCAGTGATCAAAATATTGGATATGAAGTCATTGAAAACAATAGTTTTGAGAATATGGCTGAGATCGTGAATATGAGGCAGATGCTGGATGTACTGTGGAAGTGCGCGCTGACGATGACAGCGATGGTAAAATCATCTGCTCAAACTGAACCCTTTTAAGTTTCAAAATGAAACGAAATATGCTTTATTTTATTCTTCTGTAATTGTTCTTAAAATATCAAGAGTTTTTTGCTATTGCAGCAGTTAAAGATCCATCCGTGCTGCATATATAGGTCCAGGTCGCTAAAGACCTGAATATGAAATAATGATTGGCGAAACATTCATGCATTTAAGGGTTAAATTTATTTCCCCGTTAATTTTTTTCCCTGTTAATGGTAAATGAATATTATGATAAATATAGATATCGTATGATGTGATAATATTTTGTCCATACCGCCCAGCCCTGTACTGAAGTGTAATCTGTTTTTCTGAGTACATCTAATACATTTCCATGAGTGTAATTCCATGTTTTCAGACTGATGTGAATTTGATTAATTTGGTTTCTCAAATACAGATACTATTGAACCAAGTGGCCAGAAATGAGAGCTTTTTATCTCATTGAAATGAGTGCGTCTGTCAGCACATCTTGAGCTGTTCTTTGATTTGCACAGAGAACTTGTGGGGAAGCTACGGTCCCGCTGGCATGCTGGTGGAGAAAGCTGTACCGTCGGTGCCGGCGAGCGACGCGGCTCAGGACAAAGACATGCCGTACGTCGTCAATGACATCACCGCCTTCTTCACGCTGCTGGTGGGAATCTACTTCCCCTCCGTCACGGGTACCATCACATCCATTACTCTCGCTCTCCTCTCTTTGCTGCTCACTTTAAACTAAACTAGTTTGATCTGGGGGTGATCTGTGTTATCTAGTGCTCTCAGATTCACGTCGAGCTCAGCGGGGACGCACGCGTGTGAACTCCCTGCAAACACAGCGATAGCGTTTCAGGACATGACCTTAGTGTAACAACATGGACTGAGCTTTTGGAAGAGCCCTTCATTTCACACTGCTTTAGAGCTCTGGGGGATGTAATCAATATATACCTCAATAGGAGCATTTTACTTAAACAGTCATTTGAGTTGAATTGTGACCCTGGACCACAAAAACAGTCTCAAGTGACAATTTTTCGATACTTTCGAGATTTACATCATCTGAAAGCTTTGTTAGGATAGGACAATATTTGGTCGAGATACAACTATTTGAAAATCTGGAATCTGAGGGTGCAAAGAAATCAAAATATTGAGAAAATCATCTTTAAAGTTGTCCAAATGAAGTTCTTAGCTATGCATATTACTGATCAAAGCTGAAATTTTTATATATTTACGGTAGGAAATTTACAAAATATCTTCATGGAACATGATCTTTACTTAATATCCTAATGATTTTTGGCATAAAAGAAAAATCTATAATTTTGACCCGTACAATGTATTGTTGGCTATTGCTACAAATATCCCCCAGCGACTTAACACTGCTTTTGTGCTCCAGGGTCACAACTGAGAACTGTTTGATAGAAAATACAGAAATCATCTAGTTAAAATAATCAGCATTTTCCACTAAATTAATATAATAAATTTTGTTTATATACAGTCAAAAGTTATTCAGACTCCAGATATAATTTTTTATATTTTTTTACTAGTAGGTGCAGGACACTATAGTTCATTTATGTAAGTGAAGATAGTAAAATAAACTAAACTGTGACATATTATACCCAAAAATTCGTCATACAGTGGACTACCAGTAAAACTGATAACAATTTGGGACCAAAAATGATTCAGACACTTTGACCTGACCATGTTTTGCTGCAGTGTTATCTGACATTATCAAGATCAATTTGTTCTGGCACAGTTTAAGTCATATTTTATTACCATTTTCTAAACTATACAGTTTGACTGTAAAACAGCAATACAGTAAATACTTATTACATTAAATATATATTATATAATGTATGCCTATATACCTGCAGTATATATTATATAATATCTATATTTTACTAAAAAAAAGGTTAATTTGTTAAAAACTCATTCAGTGAACATTTTTGAATAGTTTCTTTAAGCTGATTCATTGAAATGAGGAAATTAACAGAAATGTATTGAACTCACCAACTCTAAGCAGTGTTGTTTTAGAATTATTTATAGTATTATTGTATACATTATAGTATTAATTAATATTTTTCATTATTTTTCATTTAAATTAATATTTTTAATTAGCGTTTATTTTTATATTTTCAGATTTTATTTAAAATTTAGTTGAAGCTTTAGTAGTTTTTTTAATGTGCTTTTATAATTTTTATTCGTTTTTTTTTTTTTTTTTTTAAGTTTTAGTCATTTCCGAGCTTCAACTTATTTCAGTTAGTCATTAAAGTTCAGGTTTGTCATCTAACATTTTAATTTTAGTTCAGCTTTTAATAGCCTCAGTTTTATTTTACAATAAATAAACCTGAATTCTGAATGTTTGTAATGTATCACTCAACTCAGTTATTCAGTAGTTCCGATTTTTTCGGAACTACTTTTTTCTTATCATTTTTGAATGATAAGAATTGTATTTCCGCTTCTTAAAAACACTCTCATGTAGTTCCTCGGTCCTCCTCTGTTGTGCAGGCATCATGGCTGGATCCAACAGATCCGGGGATCTGAGAGACGCTCAGAAAAAGTCATTTTTTTACAGTAAAAAAAAAAAACCTGAAATATTTGTATACTTCATTCACTCATTCTAGGTGTCAGTGGATTAAATTAGAAATATTTTTGTTTACCTATATTTTATTTCAGCTTTATTTCGATTAAGAAAATTGATTTACAGTAACAATACTGTTTTTACTTTTTTATTTTTTTAATGTTATTTATTTTTCATTTGGTTTTTCATTTAATATTTATGTTTTATTTCAGCTTTATTTCAATTAGCAATGAATTTGTAATAGTTTTAGTTTGGTTTTATGCAACAATAACAACACTTTTTGCTATTGAATTTTGAATCGACGATAGATTCATTTTATAAAATTTATTTTAAATATTCTAAATACTAATGCTACTTCAATTATGTTACTATTATAAAATCGTATTTGTGAAATTTACAGGCAATTTCTAATTTTTATATTTGTATATCTTATTCAATACTGCAAGGTATTAATATAAAGTGGTTTAATTTAGAAATACCTTTGTTTACCTATATATCATTTGTTGTTGTTCATTAGGTTTGGAGACTCTGTTAAAGGGAATTTGGTGATTGGCACGTTGTCCTGGCCCTCTCCCTGGGTGATCGTGATTGGCTCGTTCTTCTCCTGCTGTGGGGCGGGGCTTCAGAGTCTCACCGGCGCCCCCCGGCTGCTGCAGGCCATCGCGCGGGACGGCATCGTGCCCTTCCTCCAGGTACGAACGCATCAGATATGCATGATATCTCGTGATATCATATATCTGTAGTATATGATATTTTGAATTAGCTTTTATTTTTAGATTTTCTGGCTTCATTTTAATTTTAGGTTTAGTAATTTTGTTATGCAAATTTTATATAATCCTGACAAAATGCATATCGTCGGAAAAGTCTGAGTCTCAAGATTCCATATTTGGTTATTTTGTGATGTGTCACCCGGTGGCTATTTTTGGTATAACGCCTAAATAAAATCTCCCAGGAACCTTTTTTTAATTTTTTTTATATCGACTTCAAATTTGAAGCATAACTTTTTTAGACATATGGCTTTAATTTGAAAGCAATTTTAGAGTAAAACATTCTGTAAAATAATTATTTTATATAAAATAAAAACTTTATAGTACAGTACATTTTCTTTACAGTAAACTTAAACTTCTATAACTTTTTCATACTTTCATTTTTTTTAAATGATCACTTCAGCAATAATCTGCTGATTGTCTTCTTTAAAAAAGATCAACCTTAGGTTTGTATTCCAAAGCGATCATGAATTAAAACAATTTAAGTTCGGTGCATTTTTATGTCTTTTTATGTGTTTTATGCCAAATGAAGTGCTTTTGCTTTCGCACTGAAGCACAGCGTCTCCCTGACATGCTGCATCAATACGACTGCTGTTCCTGAAACCACGCCTTCTTTTTTGCGTGCACATTTGGGCGGCATTATGCTAATATTTCCACATAGTGATGTAGACATGTGGGGGCGTGTTAGAACGAGGCGTTTTAGGGGGGCGTGGCTGACTCTTAACTTTTATAAAGAATATCTCTTTGGATTTGAGACTTTAGTCTTTGCAACTTTACAGATCTTCTTTATGCACCAAGAGCTTGTAACACTCCAAAGAGAAAGGAACAATTGAAATCGCATCATATGACCCCTTTAAAAAATACAAATTTTATTAGTTTTAGTTAGGTTTATAAATTGATTGGGAATATGGGAATTAAAATGGTATTTCCTTCAACCGGTGTAAGAAGCTTTCAGAGTATTTGATGTTTGTTAATGACAGTGCTGGTTAATACCAGATTAGCATGGTTTATTATAGTAACAATAACTGTTTCTATGTTTTGGTGTGGTAAGGTTTTCAGACGTTTCATTAGATGTCTTTTGAATCATTGAACATATCTCAGTGTTATTCTACACATGAACTGTGTCATCTGCTGGTCTCTCAGGTGTTTGGTCACGGGAAGGCCAACGGAGAGCCGACGTGGGCTCTTCTTCTGACGGCTGTGATCTGTGAATGCGGGATTCTCATCGCTTCTCTGGACGCTGTGGCGCCAATCCTTTCCATGTGAGTCTCATGTCTGAGCTGTTTCTCCGTCAGTGTGGCGACAGACTGTGTGTTTGACTGTGTGTTGTCTCTCCTCAGGTTCTTTCTCATGTGTTATCTGTTCGTGAATCTGGCCTGTGCCCTGCAGACGCTGCTGAGGACGCCCAACTGGAGACCACGGTTCAAATACTATCTTACTGACCGTAAACTTTTAAATAGTAGTGTGTATTTTTATGTACCTGTACATGTACTTTTCTTTTTCTTTTCTTTTTCTTTTTTTTTTCTAATAATTTGTACTATTTAGTGCTTTTTCACAGTCCAATCAATTCCGTCAAGTCTCTTAAATGAATATGCAATCAAAATGGAGTAATTTTAATCTTGGTGGAGGTATTTTGTAAACAAAAACTGGGAACCCAAAGTACAATGACTTTGCACATACTGAAAAATTACATACGTGTATTAGTGCTATCAAAAATACTGATGTTGGTACTGAAATTTAAAAAAATGTGCCGATGCCAATCAGAGCTGTTTAAGAATCCGTTCAACAGCGCTCAAAATGCTGGTATCGTCACATTTTTATAATTTCAGTACCAACATCGGTACATTTGACAACACTGACATGTATAATATTACACAGCGAAACGTTTCATTGCCCAGATGATGCTGTTTTATGCCTCAAGAAACTTAATTCTCAGTTAATGCCATTTAAGTATCAACCGTCTCTCGTTCTCCTCAGGAGAAATTAAAATAGACCCAAATGAGCCACTAGTTGACATTGTTGAGATCTCTTCAGAAACTCTAGAAGAGAAACATTAAATTACTAGGGTCTTCATTGAAACAGTATCTTAATTTTTTGTTAAAATGCATATTTTTAATGTATTTGGTGACGTTAGTTGCACAGAAAGGTCTTCATTTGCTCTCTGTTTAATCTGATTGCTGATTTTTTCTTTTGTATTGATTAATTCAATATATTGAGTCACTACTGTTCTCCTTCATCAGGGCTCTTTCGTTTCTCGGCATGAGTTTGTGTCTGGCTCTGATGTTCATTTCCTCCTGGTACTACGCTCTGGTGGCCATGCTCATCGCTGGATGCATCTACAAATACATCGAGTACCGCGGGTAAGAGCTGCAGAAGCGCATTACAGCCCACGCCGTGAGTCTTCTTACTGACCGTAAACTTTTAAATAGTAGTGTGTATTTTTATGTACCTCTCAGGTGAGTGGCTCATTAGACCCAAATGAGACACTAGTTGACATTGTTGAGATCTCTTCAGAAACTCTAGAAGAGAAACATTAAATTACTAGGGTCTTCATTGAAACAGTATCTTAATTTTTTGTTAAAATGCATATTTTTAATGTATTTGGTGACGTTAGTTGCACAGAAAGGTCTTCATTTGCTCTCTGTTTAATCTGATTGCTGATTTTTTCTTTTGTATTGATTAATTCAATATATTGAGTCACTACTGTTCTCCTTCATCAGGGCTCTTTCGTTTCTCGGCATGAGTTTGTGTCTGGCTCTGATGTTCATTTCCTCCTGGTACTACGCTCTGGTGGCCATGCTCATCGCTGGATGCATCTACAAATACATCGAGTACCGCGGGTAAGAGCTGCAGAAGCGCATTACAGCCCACGCCGTGAGTCTGTGCAGACGCTAAGCTGATTACAGCTTCATCTGACTGAGTGTTTGTCTGCGGTGTCATTGTGAGTTTAAACTCAATTTTTATATCTGTGTTCAGGGCAGAGAAGGAATGGGGCGACGGGATCCGCGGTCTGTCGCTCAACGCGGCGCGATACGCTCTGATTCGATTGGAGGAGGCGCCGCCGCACACCAAAAACTGGAGGTGAGGGTCACAAAATACACAAACCAATAAATCCATTATAAAATAAACACCTATGTTCAAAAGTTTGGGATCAGTAAGATTTTTATTTGAAAGAAATTAATACTTTTATTCAGGAAGGAAACATTCAATTGATCAGAAGGGACAGTAAAGCCATTTATAATGTTACAAAATATTTCTATTTCAAACAAATGCTGTTCTTTTGAACTTTCTATTCATCAAAGAATCCTGAAAAACAAAATGCATCACAGTTTCCACAAAAGTATTGTGCAGCACGACTGTTTTCAACATTGATAATAATCAGAAATGTTTCTCGAGCAGCAAATCAGCATATTATACTGATTTCTGAAGATCATGTGACACTGAAGACTGGAGGAATGATGCTGAAAATTCAGCTTTGAACACAGAAATAAATTACATTTTAAAATATATTCACATAGAAAGAAGTTATTTTAAATTCTAATAATATTTCACATTTGTACTGTATTTTTGATCAAATAAATGCAGCTTTGGTGAGCAGAAGAGATGTTCAAAACATTTTTAAGTCTTACTGACCCTACATTTTTGAACGATCGTGTATTTATCACAATGCATTTTTTATCCCTATAAGTTTAATTAAAAAATTAACATTTTTGTTTTTATGATTTATGTTATTGTTATTCAAATGTATTATATAAAATGTATTACATGTAGTTGTGTTTTGGAAAATTCAGTGAGTTAAAAAAAAATAGTTTTATATATTAAAAAAATACTTTTATTAATTTTTCAAAACAATCTTAATGATACAAACATCACAAACTAGTATAAACAACAATAATACCTACAGAATAAAGTACAGTATAGCAAAATATTAGACCCAAATGAGACACTAGTTGACATTGTTGAGATCTCTTCAGAAACTCTAGAAGAGAAACATTAAATTACTAGGGTCTTCATTGAAACAGTATCTTAATTTTTTGTTAAAATGCATATTTTTAATGTATTTGGTGACGTTAGTTGCACAGAAAGGTCTTCATTTGCTCTCTGTTTAATCTGATTGCTATATAGGTGATTTTTTTTCTTTTGTATTGATTAATTCAATATATTGAGTCACTACTGTTCTCCTTCATCAGGGCTCTTTCGTTTCTCGGCATGAGTTTGTGTCTGGCTCTGATGTTCATTTCCTCCTGGTACTACGCTCTGGTGGCCATGCTCATCGCTGGATGCATCTACAAATACATCGAGTACCGCGGGTAAGAGCTGCAGAAGCGCATTACAGCCCACGCCGTGAGTCTGTGCAGACGCTAAGCTGATTACAGCTTCATCTGACTGCGTGTTTGTCTGCGGTGTCATTGTGAGTTTAAACTCAATTTTTATATCTGTGTTCAGGGCAGAGAAGGAATGGGGCGACGGGATCCGCGGTCTGTCGCTCAACGCGGCGCGATACGCTCTGATTCGATTGGAGGAGGCGCCGCCGCACACCAAAAACTGGAGGTGAGGGTCACAAAATACACAAACCAATAAATCCATTATAAAATAAACACCTATGTTCAAAAGTTTGGGATCAGTAAGATTTTTATTTGAAAGAAATTAATACTTTTATTCAGGAAGGAAACATTCAATTGATCAGAAGGGACAGTAAAGCCATTTATAATGTTACAAAATATTTCTATTTCAAACAAATGCTGTTCTTTTGAACTTTCTATTCATCAAAGAATCCTGAAAAACAAAATGCATCACAGTTTCCACAAAAGTATTGTGCAGCACGACTGTTTTCAACATTGATAATAATCAGAAATGTTTCTTGAGCAGCAGATCAGCATATTATACTGATTTCTGAAGATCATGTGACACTGAAGACTGGAGGAATGATGCTGAAAATTCAGCTTTGAACACAGAAATAAATTACATTTTAAAATATATTCACATAGAAAGAAGTTATTTTAAATTCTAATAATATTTCACATTTGTACTGTATTTTTGATCAAATAAATGCAGCTTTGGTGAGCAGAAGAGATGTTCAAAACATTTTTAAGTCTTACTGACCCTACATTTTTGAACGATCGTGTATTTATCACAATGCATTTTTTATCCCTATAAGTTTAATTAAAAAATTTACATTTTTGTTTTTATGATTTATGTTATTGTTATTCAAATGTATTATATAAAATGTATTACATGTAGTTGTGTTTTGGAAAATTCAGTGAGTTAAAAAAAAATAGTTTTATATATTAAAAAAATACTTTTATTAATTTTTCAAAACAATCTTAATGATACAAACATCACAAACTAGTATAAACAACAATAATACCTACAGAATAAAGTACAGTATAGCAAAATATCTCTGTCAACACATTTCTATACCAGCTTTCTTTCTACCTTCACCGGCTCTTCTGAGGTGTAATCCAGAGACAATCAGTGTTGGATTTTCCCAGAGCTCCTGCTAATCTTTCATGGATTAAATAACCTGTCTACAATGAGCTGCGATGAAACTTCAGTCGTCTTTCAGGAATGAGGTCAAATCTGTTCATTCCTCGTCCCAGCGCCTCTAATCCACGCCAGCAGAAACAGAGCTGGGTTTTGTTCTGTGACATCTGTGTGCGGCTGGACAATCTCCACTGACGGTCTTCTGTGTTTTTCCGGTGTCTCTTCAGTCAGTATTCGAGTGTCTTTGATTGATATGATGATGCTCTGTCCGTCAGACTCATGCCAGGGATATTATAGTTACCTGAAACTAAAATCATAAAAAAAACACTTTTTGTTACTTTAAAAAAATAAACGTTAACTGAAATAAAATATAATTAAAAATAAACTTATTTCATCTAGCTGCCAAAGCATTTCGTTTAACTTAAAATACTAAAATAACTCAAACTAAAAATGAAATAAAAATGAATAAAAGGTACAAAAAACACCTTAGAAAATGTAAAAGATAAATAAATAAAAATCCAAAATATTAATAAAAACCTTAATGGTATCTCAATGATACTAAAGTAACATGTTGTGAAATCATTTCTCAGCTGCACTAGAATAACCCCAATCGAAATAAATTGTAGTGGATTTTATTTATACTCTCTTCAATCAAGAATAAATCATTAATGGTAATGGCAGATCCTCTGAGCTTTTGACTTTTAGGCTCAGGTTAACATCATTCACCTAAATGCATCACACCTCTGACAGTCGTTCATAATCTTTTAATCCTGAGCCGGAAAAACCTCCACTGTTTGATTTCAGAACCGAGAATCTTTTCCACTGCCTTCATTTTTACTGTATTATAGTACAGTTCTTCTAGTAAATAACTGTAACCAAGGTTATTCACTAATACATTATGCATACTATTCAAGGTTACACTTTTGAAGAGTATAAAGCATTAAAAAACATATGCATTACACTATGAAAAGCTTTAATCGTGAATAGGTAAGTATTAATCGAATTAGAACTGTGGTTATGAAAAGATATGCATTACAGTGTGTGTGTTTTAAAGCATTAAGAACAACCAAAAATTCATTACATGCACTTTCACACTCAGCAGATCTTCATTTTCAACAACATTTCATTTGCTAGTATTAAATAGTATTGTGTGTTGTGTGTGTTGTGTGTGTTGTGTGTGTTGTGTGTGTTGTGTGTGTGTGTGTGTGTGTGTGTGTGTCACTGGAGCACAAAACCAGTCATAAGGGTCAATTTCTCGAAATTGAGATTTATACATCTTCTGAAAGCTGAATAAATATGCTTCCCATTGATGTATGATTTGTTAGGATTATTACAATATTTGGCCGAGATACAACTATTTGAAAATCTGGAATCTGAGGGTGCAAAAAAAATCAAAATATTGAGAAAATCATCTTTAAAGTTGTCCAAATGAAGTTCTTAGCAATGCATATTTCTAATCAAAAATTATATTTACGGTATATTTACGGTAGGACGTTTGCAAAATATCTTCATGGAACATGATCTTTACTTAATATCCTAATGATTTTTGGCATAAAATAAAAATCTATCATTTTGACCCATACAATGTATTGTTGGCTATTGCTACAAATATCCCCCAGCGACTTAACACTGCTTTTGTGCTCCAGGGACACATATCTATGTACTCTGTTTGTGTGCTGTCCAGGCCTCAGCTGCTGGTGCTGCTCAATCTGGACTCTGAGCTGTCGGTGAAACACCCTCGTCTCCTGTCCTTCACCACGCAGCTGAAAGCAGGCAAAGGTCTGACCATCGTGGGCTCGGTGCTGGAGGGCACGTACCTCACCAGAGAGAGCGACGGCAAAAGAGCAGAACAGGTATGAACATGATGCAGACATCCTCAAACATGAGGGATTCCTCAAATAAAGGACTTTTACTGCTTGAAAACTTGATCTTTTAGGTGAAAAATTACATAAGCCTCACACTTGGACAGCAGATTTTGGAACAGCAATTACTTAGTAAAAAGATTACTAATTAAACATGATTTCATGGAAAATATCCCTGATTAATTTTTTTTAAATAGGTTCTGGGTATAGAATAAATGTAACATTTTAGCACTCATAAAAATGAGTAATTAAAAAGACTGATGATTATTATCTACTTATTATTATTATTATAATGATTTATTGTTGCTTCATAATATTTTTATTATTTATGGTTTTTATTTTTGTTGTTGTTAGTTTATTCAATACATATAATAATTTAATTTCTTTATATAATTTATATAATTTTAAAACATGTTTTTCTTCTCTTTAATACTAATAACTGATTTTTGTGAAGGTATTTCTGCAAAAGGGGACAAAAAGATTCATCTCTAATTGATGAATCACACTTTTCATAAATGTATAATGCATTTATTTAAAGATTCTGAGTAGAGAAATTCTGGCCAGTTTAACTTTTCTGCACTCTTAAAACAAGAAAGAATTAGTTTAAAGAGACAACAATAACTTTAAAGTGATTATCTATGTCATTTTTATAATTTATTATTTTGCATATTACTGAATTATCATATTATTATTTTTTATAGTTTTTTTTGTTATTAATTTAATAAATTAATATATTTTCGTTTATAATTTTTAACATACTTTTTGAATTATTTTTTAAAATCCTTTTTATCTTATTATCTACCCTTTAAAATCATATAAGTTTATATATATATATATATATACTTTTTTT